TGGACACTGCCAACATGTTTGCTGCATTAGTGCGTGCCTCTATTTGATCGTGTTAGTCATTGTTCGGTAGCTACATATTATTCGGCCTTTTCGCTTTTCGGTTGCCGAACATTCGGTGCATCCCTAGTAGTAGTAGTAGTAGTAGTAGTAGCTTAATTCATAGTAATAATACATGGCTCAAAACTTAAGCACCTTCTCAAAACAGTTCTGAAGCATGCTTTTTGTTTATGTTTGCTGACAGACACCAGTGTTTCCCACAGACTGCAAATCAATTCTCTGCCAGCAGGAGGCGCTTTGGGAGCTGGAGATATAGCGGTTTCCCCGGTAATGGCTGTAATCAAATAAGCCTACTTTATCAGGCATTACAGGAAAGACGAAATGAAAATTACATCGAAGCTTTTCTGAAGACAGTTGGTTCTTTTCAAAGATACATTCATATAAAAACACCCGCGCTGCATTTTAATTTTGAAACGCGAGCGCTCATTTTATTCAACGAAGTATAAGCCTTTTGGAAAATCTATTTGTGGCAGTCAGTTTTGATATTGTGACAAGCCGCCATAAATAACTCAATGTATAGGAAACACTGGACACCGCTATAAGTCAAATGGCCATAGTGATAAAAATAAAAGATTTCACACATATTTCACAGCCTGCTGCTCATAACTGCTTAAGAGTGCACTGGCCACGAGCGATGACATCGTGGATGCTATTGTCGGACCAACACACACACTTCATGAGGAAAGTTAACGTGCACGTTATAATCAGCCCAGAAGTTTCGTCTGAATTGAACGTGTTTCTACATTCACATGCAAATGACTTGTTGCACTTATGAATATGATAACTTTCCGGCATCTATTCTAGTAGGGTAAAACATAATTGCGCGTTCGAAACGGTCTGTTTTGCCCTGCCATTAGCTGAAGCTGTGTGTGAACAAGCCGCGGCTGCAGAGTGTCGTGTGAGCTGCTTCGTCTCCTGCAGCCTCCTCAGAGGGAGTTCCACAACAACGCTTAGCTGCCCGCCGGTGTGCCTGCCTATAAATCGGCCTAATTTGCAGCACAATCGGCCGATGCCAATTAATTAAAAAATGCCAAAAATCGGCTGATTAATCGGCCGGCCAATCAATCGGTCGACCTCTACTACAGACAAATATAGACTAACCCAGCTGTTGGGTTAAATGTTTTAATTACATTTTTAACCCAAAAGTTGGGTTAGTCCATATTTGACCCAAAGTTCTATTTTGGTATTTCATTCTATGGAAATCATTCTAATATGCTGTTTTGCTGCTCAAGAAACATTTCTTATTATCATCAATGTTGAAAATAGTTGTGCTGCTTAATATTTTTTTTGGAAACAATTTTGTGATACAGTACTATTCAAAAGTTTGGGGTAAGTACGTTTAAAAAAAAAGAAAAATAAATGAATAGTTTTATTTGCAATCACTGGAATAAATTACATTTCAAAATATAATAAAATAGAAAACCTTTATTTTAATTAGTAATAATATTTCATAATATTTTTACTGTATTTGAGGAAGATAAATGCAGTCTTGGTGAGCATATGGACTCAATAATTTCAAACCCAAAAGCTGACCTCATACGTAATTCCCCCGGAACTGCTTCCGTTTAAAACAGTGAGCGCAAGCTAGATTCAAGTGATTATTACGTTTTGAATATGGATATTTTTCTTACAAAAACGCATCGATTCGCTACAGGAGGCCTTTGTTCACCCCTCGCTGTGTGAGACGCTTTTTTTTGTGGAAGGGTGCTTTTTATTTCACGTCATTTGAACCGAAGCACTGCAACACCCGCTGAGTATAACGATAGAGCTTGAAAGATCAAAGACAATTTTTAATATAACTCCGACTGGATTCGTCTGAAAGAAGAAAGTCATATACACCTAGGATGACTTGAGGGTGAGTAATTTATGGGCTAATTTAAATTTTTGGGTGAACTAACCCTTTAACAACTTCATGATTACATGAATTTGGACAAGATCCCCTAAAGCGCAACCCTCAAAAACATTTCTCTCTAGTGTATAAGTACTGTATGAATGCACACTTATTGTTCATGAAATACTTTTTGGATGCTGAAAAGTCATGGTATGGTATATTTAACCTAAAGGCCCGTTCACACCAAGCACAATAACTACAAAGATAACGATAAAGATATAGTTCTAAAAATCGTTCTCAATATTAAAGAATAGCATAGTTCACACCACAACTATAACGATAACGATACAGAGGAACGATATCGTTGTGATCACTTTCAAAACGATTTTTTTCCAGCTGATGAACGATAAAACACTGACAGCCAATCAGAATCCATCCTGCTGTAACGAGCTCAAGAATTTAAAGCGGCAGACGCATGTGCGCTTAGAATAAACAGACGATATCGTTCGCTGGTGTGGACGCTAATATCGTTATCTTTATAGTTATCTTTATAGTTATCGTTCTTGGTGTGAACTGGGCTTTAAGCTATTTTAAACAGCATTTTACTAGTTCTATTTTAGAATTATTATGCATGCAGCATTTAATGGCTCATATTAAATTAGAGATTGCATGTAATATAAATTTGTACTTTTAAACATTAATTTCTGCAGGATCATTTGTAATAACTAGTGATGGCAAAGTAGATTAAAAAATGGCGAAAAACCTGAACTTGAAATCTTGAGGTTTCTTTAAAAATGAAGATAATGGAGATTTTATAAATCAACTACATTGAACCAAAAAGCTCAAAACTCTTGATTAATCTTTAGGCCTCTAACTGACCAAATATCTGTGGTTTGCCCATTTTCTGGTCCTTTCTGGTTCATATTAGCTGTTTTGCAGTGTTTCAACGTCTCATGAGTGTTTTAGTTCCCTTTTTTTAGCAGCCATTTATATATTTAGACCAACTTTTTTTTAAAGGGTCATGAAATACTGTACTAGATTTTCTGCAACATTAACAGATGCTGTTTTGCAAATCATAGAGAACATTCGTTAATCTAAAATTTTAGGGGGGGAAAAATCATTTTCAATTTTATTTTGCACAATTTTTATCTTCCAGATTTAAAATCTACAGTGTTTCAGCATCACAGGATGTGGCATAGTGAAGCATTATACATCGATGACATGCAGTGTGTCATAATTATTCATAAGACTGTGTTTCCTGTGATTCTGGGCTGATTCACCAGTTTTTAGGCTGACAGGTCATGATTTCAGAGGCTCATTATCCAGAGATTCTCGCTTTATTGCTTAGTGGTACATTTCTTATATTTTTCACACTCTTCAATTGTCAAGGGTTCCTCCAATTCATGTTTCTTACAAATATATTGCAAAATACTTTCAGTATTTGTAGTTTTAGAGTAGGGTATGGTGAAAATCAATACAGTGAAAGTGTTATACTTCCCCATTATAATTTCATACATTTTAATTATTGTGAAAGGAGCAACAGCTACCGAAGAATGAAGAGTGTAGTCAGTCCACCACAATCTAATGGATCTGGATCAGTGTCTGACAAATCAAAAAAAAAAAAAAGTTACATTTGTCACATTTATTTGAGGGCTTAGTCTTGATTTTGTATTGCAGGACCAATATGACATCATTGATAAACACACACAATCTGGGCTGGACCTGGTGGAGAAATATGTGAAGTTTGTAAAGGAGCGAACAGAGATCGAACAGAATTACGCCAAGCAGCTAAGGTAAGAAATTTTAATATGTAGGCTATCCAGTTCAAATAGCTGTGTGTTAGCGTGTACATGAGTATGCATGCTGTTGTGTGTTTTTTCCAGAGCTGTGTCTGATTGTGAAATATTCATGTCTTAAGACTTATTTGGGGCAGAACTGAACTTGTTGGCACCTCTGAGCTGTAGCGTTGGCCTCGGCCCAGAGGATAAGCATATCCACGCCTGTACCCCTTCTCATTCATGACTAGGCCTTGACACTTGCTTGATCTCTGCCAGACTATTCGGAGTTCCACCCGCTACCTCTTTCTGTCCTCCCTCCCGCTGTAAGAGAAGAGAGGAAGTGGGAGCAGACGAGCATATGACTGAGGGGATGTAGATGGATAGAGTGAAAGTGTGGAAAGCAGCTTAGCATTGGCGTCTGCCTCTACTTCTCATGTGCAGAAGGAGGAAAGAAATGCAGCCTGGTTTTGAGAACAGTGGCCTTCCTTTTTTGACACGTTTCATTACTTTTGTTTTGAAGTCCAGCTCTTTCGTTTACGCCATTGTAATTGGTCAATGGAAATGGAAACAAGCCTTACATGTTCCATGTAAGTCTGAGCTTCTGTCTTCGCTGACTGTGACAAATGGCAGGACATTTTGCATTTTGTCAATCACTTGGTTTATGGGTCAATGACAATAAAGATTTGCAATTTGAATTTATGTTGACTTGGTTTTGGAATAACAATATTTAACTTTTCAATAAAAGTTTACATTTGAAGGGAAAGTAAACCAACAAATGAAAATTCCATCATGATTTACTACTATATA